GTTTTCGTGCTCGGCATCTCAGTCAGCGTCCAGCCATTACAACGGGAACATTTCCACGCTGCCCGTTTTTTCGATATTCAAATTTAAAATGTGCACTGCAATTGAAAATCCTGCCAGTCGTGAGGTGCGGTCTGTGATACGGTTTTTTGTTGTCAAAAAACCTAAAACCTATGGAAATTTATCGGCGAGTGTGTGAAGTGTACAGAAACAACGTAATGAATGAAAGTTCAATCCGGAAATGATGCATTCAGTTTGAAAATGGTCGAACTAACATTCACGATGAAGAGAAGACCGGACGCCCTAGTATTGTGACTGACGAACTGGTCACTAAAGTTGATGAAAAGATTCGTGAAAACCGCTGTTTCACAATAACGGAGCTTTCGCCTAGTTTTCCACAAGTTTCACGGACTTTGTTGTTTGAAATTGTCACACAAATGCTAGGCTACCACAAATTTTGTGCAAGATGGGTGCCGATATTGCTTACAGACCACCATAAAGGTCAGCAAATGGGGGCAGCTTTGACATTTCTGGAGGCCTATGACAGACAAGGTGATTCATTACTAAATCGAATCATAACTGGTGACGAGACATGGGTGAGACACGTGAATTGCGAGACAAAATTACAGTCCATGCAGTGGGGGCACACAAGTTCCCCCAAAAGACCAAGAAAATGTTTGCAAATTTTGTCACCAAAGAAGATTATGGCAACTGTGTTTTGGGTTAGGCAAGGTGTGCTTCTGATTGATTTTCTCGAACGTGGTGCCACAATAAACTCTGAGCGGTACTGTCAAACTTTGCACTACCTAAGGAAAGCAGTTCAAAAGAAGCGCCGAGGAAAGTTGACGTCCAAAATTTTGTTTTTGCACGACAATGCCTGACCTCACACGGCAAACCACACTCAAGAACTCCTTAATTCATTCAAATGGGAGGTTTTTCCTCATCTGCCCTATAGTCCCGATCTTGCACCTAGTGATTTTCACTTGTTTCCAAGAATGAAGAACTGGCTAGCAACATAATGCTTTGATGACGACAAGGAGCTGCGGGTGCGCGTCACTGAGTGGCTGAGATCGCAGGCGGAAGAATTCTATGACGAAGGAATTTCAAAGCTTGTCCACCGCTATGATAAGTGCCTCAATTTGTTTGGTGACTGTGTAGAAAAGTAGAATTTTAGGTCGCACTTTCTGATGCATATAATATTTTTTTTCTTGTTCTTAGTTTATTTTTAATTCCAAAATGTTCCTTACTTTCTGAATATCCCTCGTATTTTAACCCTTTGACACGCGCGATATTATTTTTATAATTTTTTTAACTAAAAACTCTAGAAATTGAATATTATGATCCTAGAGACAAATAATATATTAATTTAAAAAAATCTACTCTTGCCCATTGTTCTGTTTGTGGTGGTCGCACTGTAAAACCACCGCGCGTCTAGGACTTTGAAACTTACTGATATAGTAGGAAAAAAAAAACTTACCATTTTCCGCGCGCATTTCCAATAAATGATGAAATTTACGGATTTAAAAAACAATGTGTGTAAGAATTGCATTATATATAATTTTTTTACATTATTTCACAAAGTAAATCGTCAGAAAAAATTAAAAAATAAACATTTATGTAATTTTTCTATAGTAGTGAAAATATAAATACCTACATAATAAGGACATTCGGATAAATGGATTAAAAACACTCAATAAAATAAGGATAAAAAGAACTCTTTTTTTTTTTTTTTTTTTTTTTTAAATTTCAAAGCACAAATTTATTTTGTCACACTGTTCAAAGCATATTTTGTCTCTTTGGTACATGCATAGACCCACATTGCATGTTTCGCACATACATATTGTTCTATGAGGTTTCTTCCTTGTGCTACAAAATGTACTCTGCCTGGATTTAAATTTCACTGGTATCTGTTCAGCGTTATTTAGTTTTTTTTCATCTGGCACAAGAAATTTGTGGTTTTTTATGTTAATGAGGGGGGGGGGCTTGGTCCTTTTTGGATTTATACGGATTGTTCGTTTCCCATTCATACATATTTTATTCGTATTTCGTCCCAAAATATTCAGAAAATATTTTTAATATATATAAACTTTTACGCAATTTCTATTTTAATTATAGCAAAGTATACTGACATTAAATTTAAACCACAGGAAATAATTTATAAAATCACAATACTAGCTTGGGGAGCAAGTGTGTTGAGGTCAGAGAAAAAAAAGTATTTGGAAAAGAAAGACATTTTTACTGGGCAGGTGCATGTATTGTGTAGTAATAAAATAACTGTGGTTTCAAAGCCCTTTATCTATATCCGGGTAAAAATAAACATTCCTGTTTGAAAAGCAAGCGAACGCCATTGAGAAGCAAACGCCAGTGGTTTCAAGGCGCAACCACCGAGCCTCTAGAGAATTGTAAGCATTGTGACACAATGCTCTAGTGGCGCAGTGGTCGTGCCTTGAAACCACATAGCAAATGCCATACATATAGAGGTTTTTTTATATATGCAGTTTAAGTACTGCAATTTTTTATTGTTTATGATAGAAATCAGGATGTGTGATGACTAACTTTTGAAATTTAAAGTTGTTTATATTAATAAAAGGAAGTTATTTTGTCTCATCGAAAACGAATTTTAACCCCTTCGAGCCGGGTAGCGCAAATGGGCGCTTATCACGGAGGCCGGCAGTGTCTTACGCGAGCGTCTGTCCAGGGCCGGGGGCTTTTTTGCTACTAAGCCTAAATCCATGAAATTTCCGAAGTATCAATGCACCGTTTAATAATGCTCTATAGAGTATTTAAACGGCTTATGCTTTATAGATATTTTTATACTATATACTTTAATTACCTTATTTCTTGTTTAAATGCATATTTTACACATTTTATTTTCATTACTCACCATTTTATGACTTTTTAACATTATACATCTGAAAACTAAATATATTACTTAAAATTCTCTTTTCGTAAGAAAAATTTGAAAACAGGGATCTACACACAGTCCTACATTACATTCCTTGCACTCGTAATAACTCATTTGCCGTTTTGGAGGATTTTTCCGGGAATGTGAACAAACGAAGCATCTTCGTCTCATTTTCTTATCAGTCTCTTCTGAACAAAGTTTTGAAAAATGTCTTTCAGTTAATCTTTCAGAATCAATATCTGAAATATTTTGCATCATTTCTGCTATTTCATGCTCTGTTAAACATTTTCAACGCTTCCACATTGCAACGGTAAAACAGAAAGAATTCACGTCTAACAAGATCTAATTATTTTCTAAACACTGAACTGCAAACCGAAATACCCAATGCTTTAGCGCAAATAAAACTTCTCTACTTAAATAAACAACTACCACGTGCGAATAAATTGCGATTTAAAGAGACATCATAAATCACACCATTCAGAAACATTTATTTCCCCTCTTGTTTATATAATCAAAAACACGTGTATGTGAGTCATGCTTCTCTCATTCCGAGTAGAAGGTCTAATGTACATGTATCTGAAACCATATGGACATACAGTGCCATCTTGTGGCAGAAATTATAGTTTTTACAACGTTCCAGGATACTGGCACAAATACATGACAGTCTGTAGTGAACGGGAAAATGCTCTGGCACGCCTGCGTGTCGGCCGGGAGGTGAGTGTGTTCGTTGCTGGCACGTAGACGTGACAGTCGGCGCGAATGGGTTAAAAGACATCTGATCTGAAATATTAATACCTAAAACATATATGATTCTACAGTCATTTTGTGTTATTTAGATGTGAAAGACCAGTAATCAATTCATTTTCACTCAAAAAATTTCGGAAAAATAAGGAGAAAAAAAAATCAGAAAATGGTGGTTTCAGGGCGCGACCACCGCGCATCAAAGGGTTAAGATATTAAAACCTGAACAGTTAAGGAGTACTGAATTTTACGTATCATTCCACTTGACCCTTTAAGCGAAATTATTGAAGGAAAAAGAATGAAGATATGAAAACCATTTCTATACAATACTTGCACTCAATCTCTAAATGTCAAGCAATTACTCCATTGTTTTAAGGGTGCTTTTAATTCAATTTATAGTATTTTCCCAGAATTGTATAATCTATTTTTTCTAATTTATAAATCTCATGTTTTTGATAAATTAAATCTTAAGCAACTTTAGCACTTATTTTTAAATTGTTTTAGTCACGTTTAGAATTTCTTTCCTAAAAATTTAACCCTTTGACTACTAATGAGACATATATGTCCTACTAAATGTTTAAAAATTACTGCCAGGTTAAAAAGTATTTAGAATCTCCTGCATGTTGGGGATCTTCTTCAAATAGTTTGAAAATCAAGACCCCGCCGTGCTCATTGTACACAAATGAACATAGAGAAAAAGAACAAATATGAGTTGCCCAATGTGTAATGTTGTGTTATGCAAAGAATGCTGTGAGATGGCTACCACTTCTTGCCTTAGTAGTGATCAATGTCATTATAGGCAAGTGCCCGTCATTTGTAAAAAAAAAAAAAAAAAAAAAAGAATGCTGTGAGACATATGTGTTATGTATTAACTATGGGACATGTTTGTCCCAGCCTTTGCCTTAAAAACTGTTTCTTAAAAAATCCCAAATGCTAAATTTACCTTATTTATAACATTATGTTCACTTGGATAGAAAATAGGGTAATTTTTTTTTTTTTTTTAAATTCGTAGTCAAAGTTTTAAATGGTTAAAATTTCTAATAATGATGTTCGGTCTAGAATATAAGATAGTATCTGTTAAACAAAATATGTTAATTGAAAAGCTTTTATGTTTTTTTGATTAGCTGGTTACTGTTTCAAAGAATTGTCAAACACTTTGTAATTTTATGATGCTTGAAAAGTAAATACTTGATATTGATAGTGTTTATCATAAAATAATCTTGGGTTCACAGAATATTTTGGTATTTTGATTGTGAATTTCGAGGTTGAACTGTGAAAGTTTAGGCTTAAAATTAATATTAATATATTATATTTTATTCTGAAAATTAAAATAAAAGTAATGCTTTTGTACTTTTAGCTGTAAATTCAGAAGGCAAGAAATTAATTGTTGATTTTCCTACTCAAATGGGATGGAGAGCATTAACATCAGAAATGGAGAGAGTTTCAAGCCCTGCGAATGAAAACTTAATGTATGCCAACTTCTTTATTTAATTGTAAACCTTAGTAGTTACTTTGAGTTTTTAATTACTTTTATTGAAAGTTCAGATTCTGGAAAACTTGATCAATGTTCCTTTGCAGCTTGAAAACATTTCAGAATTTTTTGTCATATTTAAATTAACCGTCCTTGTGTGCAAGAGAATGAGTCTATACTTTCAGTTCATTTTCTGATCTCATTTTAGCCTAATATTTACTGTCTTTTTTTAAACACATCTCTGTTTCATGATTTTTTCAGGTATGGCAGAATATCTTGAACGTACCCTTGTGAAATATTTACATATTTGTGAAACTTCAATATCCCTATTTTTTTAAGTATTGTGGAAATTTAAATACTCATTTATTTTTATTTTTATGGGTTAAAATGCTGCATTCTCTGTAAAGTTCTGTGTTTTTTTGCGATACTTCATCTGAAGTAGAAAAAGCATAAGAAAATTTTATTATTTCGAGCTTCACTTTATTGTTTAGCTTTTCTGCCACCTTTTTGATGACTTATTTATATATAGATTTATTTATAAAGAAGTTATTAATTCGCTGTTTGACTGTCTCCAAAGAAGTGAACTCCAAGTCATTTAGAGGCGTTTGAAATGATGTAAAGACATGAAAATCTAAGGAAGCAAGATTTAATTAATATGGAAGTTGATACAAAACATCTCAGCCGTAGTCAGAAAGTCTTTGAAATTTATCGAAATGTGAGGCCAATCATTGTCATTATGAACAAGAATACTTTGAGGATTGGTCAGTTCTGGACATCTTGCTTCAGCTTCTGCTTTTAAAAATGTCATTTCAAAAGAGTATTGGTGCAAATTTGTCTCGTTTGGTGGCAAGAATTCAAAGTATTCAATTCTTTTGTAGTTCCACCATACACAAAGCATATCTTATAGGATACAGCCTCATCTTGATGTTGCTAAAGGAAGTTCTTTTGACTTGCCCCATGATCCCCACTTTTTTTTATGTATGTGTGTACAACATTTTTGTACTTTATCCGCTTCTTATCTCTAGTAATAAGATTCTAACATTTAAAAAAAGCTTCTTTAAATCTGTTAAGCAAAAAATCACATGCCGAAACTCAAGCAAGTATATTTTGCTCTGTTAAACTATGAGGTATGCATACATTGCAGGAGCTTGCATAGCTAGTCATTCTCCAGATATTCATGTACTGTAATTTTTGGAGTATTTAGTCTGTCTGACAGTTTCTAAATTTTATTATGTAGCATCATTTAATAAGTCCTTGTTTACAGAGGATGGTCATCCAGAGCAAGCATCATGTTTAAAACTGAAATTTCTGCACTTAAATTTCTAAATCCACCTTCAACTATGTCAGAAACAACATTCTTCTCTTATATAACACAAGTTTTATGAGTAATCTGATTAGCATTTATTCCTGTTTTAAAGTAAAAGACCATAATATGATGAAAATGAACTTTTGGGTTCTCCGTTCTTAACCCTGTACTAAAACAAAAGTTATGCCCCATACATGCTGGAATTATGCTGTGGGAGCCAGAAAATATTGTATTTTAACACCCACTTCGATCAGTGTCACTCCTTATCAGAAGTGGAGTAAAAGCCCAACAAACCAGTTCAGTCAACTGGAGAGCTCAAGTAACTGGAATATTTTAGAATTTTAGAAAATATTTTTCCCCAGAAAAATTTAGTAAATGATATATTTGGAAAGCCATTATAGATCTTGTAATATTATTAACACATGTACCTTGTTACCAGTGTTATATAGTGCTAGTAATGTATGAGTATAATGTTACAGCATAATTATAAGTAGTCATTTTGTTCAATGTAAATTTGATTAATTCTCAATAGATTGGTTTAATTTTTGTAAGGAAGGTTATAAGTTCTGCTTTTTCCTTGCATTTTGAAAAGATAAGTAATATTTGGGACTGCATGAAGTGGAGTATTTTCAAAAGTTAAGCATCTGGTGCATCAAGAAAAGCCACTATCCACAACTCTGGAAACGGATAAATGATGGTGATGTAATGCGAAAAATTATAAGTGATTAATAAGTCTTTTTTAATATGCTATATCCTTAATTTTTATCTCTGTATTATCTAACTAAATAAAGAACGATCTTCTCATGTGATTGGCAACATGTGTACCACTTTCATTTTCAGCAGGATTTCATAATTGCATCAGATGTTTCACTTTTATGTTTAAGGCCTCCAAACTACATCAGCTTTTATGCCTGAAATGCATAAAAGCTTTAAAAATCATATATAACTTTAAATGTAAGCTTTTAATATTTAAGTTGCTACTAGATAAGGTGGCTGTTTTTGAAATTTTGGAATAGAAATTTTCCCTATTGATTTGACATTCTTAGCCTGAATTCTATTTTTTATAGGCTCAACTTTTCAGAATTTTCACGCATTCGGAATTCAGCATTTCTCGAGCTTTCCACATAGTTAATCTTTTACTTTAACAAAATAATTAGAATAAAACGCTCTTTGATTTGAAAAACCACATAACTTTCTAATTAATTCAATACCTTTACTTCCAAATACATTTTTAAAAAAATTTCCATGCCTTTAATATAAATGTTAATAATACTTTGTAAGTGAACTGAAACATACTTATGTTCATATATTTCTTTTTAAGATGTGATGGTTGTCAGTTAAAGCAACTGAAGACACCTCTGTACAAATGTAAAATATGTCCTAATTTTAACTTCTGTTCATCATGCTACAAATCTGGCCGTGTTCATATGCATGAGCTGTACCTTGTAAAAGAAAGAGGTAGACATAAATTTTCTTTGGAAAAGTATTTTTTATCATATCCTAATTAAACTATGTGTAACTTTCCATTCTTTCTTTATATTTTTCCTCCCCCAGATTCATGCTTGATTAATTCTGTTCCTGGTTTTATTGATGATTGGAGAAGATGTGTAAAAAATCTCGTTGTTTCGTCACGAGAAAATATGGTTCACAGGTTAACTGATGGTTCAAATTACTTTTGGCAGAGTTTTGGCAAACAAGGAAAGGTTAGTGCTTGTTCTAGAATTAAAGGTGCAGTAAGTTATGAGTATGGTTATTATTTTCAGTGATTTTATAAATAATAAACATCCTATTTTTGTGCTTAAGATCTTTGAACATAGTCGTGTGATGATCATCAACGATTTGGTGTTATTTTTGCTGTATGTTGAATTGCTGTTTTGGGGGGGAGGTCAGATTTTTTTAACATTTTTTGTTTGTTTGTTTCTGTAATGGGCTTGAATTTCAGTGTCATTGTCTTGAGTCTGATGCATTTTAATTTTTGAATGTAAACTGAAAATGTGTTCCTTTACTTACTATTTATTTCTTATATTATTTTAGCATTGGATAAGGTTAGAAATGCAACCTGATATTCTTGTTCATCATTTACATATGAAAGTAGATCCATCTGATTCAAGCTATATGCCTTCACTTATTATTGTAAGTGGTGGCCCTTCTTTCTCGAGTATGAAAGAACTTTCTACAATTCATGTGGGACAGAATGATACAACAGTGCATCTTCTTTGTGAACAATCTGAGGTATTTTTCAAGATTTTGAATGTAGCATAAAAGATAATATATTTGTTTCTGATCTTGTGATGTGATTGCCAGATGTTTTATCCATAGTTTTTCCATTCATGTTGAAAAATACATACTTTCTTAGTTTAAGTGACACAAACCGTTTTCTTGTAAATGTTGTACAGTGCACAAAAAAGGGGGGAGTGTTCTTTATCTCCCATTCTACTGGCCAATTGATGAAATTTAACTTGTGTTTTTCATGTCTCGAAAGCGTGACTTGGGATATGTATTAGATTTATTTAAAGCATTGCTGTAATATAGGTATTTTGACACAAAATCGAACTTTTATGAAGTAACATATCATTTTTTTTTTATTATTATTTTTCGATTCTATGACTCAAATTATGCCAAAATGCCAAGTTTTGTAAAAATCGCACGAGTAGTTTTAAAAAATTAGCTCTCAAAATTTTATCTTCTCCGTGTTAATTGAGTCTTGGATATATTTATTAATATCTCTTTTTTTTAATTAATTTACTTGATACTTCCTTTCACATTTTGAAATTTAGGTTCATTCCAAATAAAATTCACCCATTTTTTATGATTTATTTTTAAAGTTTGTATTTGTAAATAATTTGTATAATTTTTTCAAAAAGCATTTTGAGAGTTTTTCATTCAAAATTTCTTAGGATATATGTGAGTTTACATATTGGCGCACTTTGAAATTTGGCATAGTTATTATAAGCGATAATAATGCCAAATGTAAATTTACACAGTTAAAATTATGTGAAAGTATAAACGATGCTTTTTTTTTTTTTTTTTTTTTTTTTTTTTCCCTGCTTTTGTCTATAGTGAAAAAAAGGGAAGTAAAATGGGTTTCTATAAAGTAAGAAGTTTTCCAATTCTTGGTACAAACTGAAAAAAAAAAAAAATGGACCAAGATAAAGTTTTAAATTTCACACCAAATTTGACAAAATTTAATATTTAGGCATAATTTGAGTTGTAGAATTGAAATATGGGGAAAAATTGCATTTCAGAAAAAGTCCGATTTTTAAGTTCAAATACATATGTCAGAATGATACTATATATAAATCTAATATATACCGTAAGTCATGCTTTCGAGACATGGGAAAACTCAATTTGAATTTTGCCAATCAGCCCAACAGAACGGGAGATATAGAACTGTCCCCTTTTTTTGTGCAGTGTACATTGCATTGCTTTCTACTGATCAGTTTGTGAAAAGACCATACTGATGGGTGACAAAAAGTGTTATTATGCTTCACTGAATTTTTCAAATATTAGATTCCAGTGAAATTTATGACAATTTAAAAATTTGCAACTTATGCACACTGAAGCATGTTTTTAAATCTGAGATGTATTATTTGATGTTATGTCTCAAACGTGATTAAAAAATGCTGTGTACTTTGCAATATACTCCAAAGTTGGATCCTGACAGGTGGAAAAAAATTGCTTAGCATGATGTATCTAGTTTTCTATTCCATTATACAGATAACAAGGTTGGAATATTATGCGGAATAGATTCACAGATTTCTCTTGATGACAGTCCTTTAAGTTGGTGAAATTATAGTTTGGGAAGTATTTTCCCTGAGTATAGTATCCCCCTTCACATAACTGGAAAACAGCTTTCAGCATGACGTTACTTTAATATCTTTTCTGATTACATATACTTGTTCGTAACTATGATATTCCTTGATGCATATGATCACTTTCAACAAAACAATGTTCCTGTTATGTTGCATGTTTCATCTCAAATTTGTTTAAAAGCAAGATTTGGAGTTTAAATTGCTTCTTTAGTCAGCTTTATCCTCTAATCTCAAGCCTATTCAGCATTTATTGGACAAAGGGAAATGCTACCATCTAGTCTGAAAGAAATAGAGCCGCCATTATATCAGCATGAGCTAATGTTCTTCAGGATCACTATCAGTGCCTTTTTAACTGAATTTTCAAAAGAATAATGATTGTTTTGAAAGCTGAAGTCAGCCAGTGCATTATTAGGGGGTGTCATTCACTGTACATCTAGTAATTTAGCCTGTAGAAAGTTTTTAAATAAAACTGTGAATCACTGTGCAAAAAAGCTCGAATAATTACAAATCTGAACAAAGAAATATGTTTATTTAATAGAGGAATTGCAGTTTATACATACAATTTTGCTTTATTATAATATAGTCGAATTTAAATCATCATGGTATTTTAAGAGTCTCCATTCTAAAAATTTTCTCTTTTATGTAAAACAAATATATATTTATTATTCTTTTAAGTTATTATGAAATAACATTATCTGTAACTTGCAAAATTTTCTTTTGATGTAATTTCAGCTGTTAATAAAGTATATTTTAATTCTCAATACTGTTGTTCAAAAAATAGAAAAGTTATTGTAACTAAATAGCTTTGTAATTTATTTATGTCTTTTATATTAAATTATTGTATTGCATACCAAATGCAAATTATCTGAAATTTATCTATGAAACTTGGTCATGACATACCAGAATCACATAAAGTTTAACATACGTAATGATATACATGAAATTGAATGAAAGCTGTTCATAAAAATGTGAGATACATAAGTTTTATACATTATATTATAAAAAAAGCACATGTATATGTAATGTTTGGAAATGGTGGCTTCAGTCTTTTATTTCTCTAGATTTTCTGGAATTCAATTCAGATTCCAATTAAAAGTTTGTCATAAAAATTTAGAGAATGCTATGAAAATATTTTCTTTGTAATGTAAGAAAGTTTTGTAAATAAAGAATTTTTATAATCATTGTAGGAGAAAAAGTCCAGTTAGTAAAATATTCATTGTTTCTTAAATTTTATGCTTTTATATTCAAAATTCACAAAGGTGTAAAAAATGAATTTATTGGCATAGAGCATTTTCAGTGAGTCATTCTGAATATTTTTCTTTTAGAGGGAAAACTAAAAGACAAAATTTAAAATTAGGCAAAATATATATATATATATATATATATATATATATATATATATACTTTGTTTGACATAAATTTTAAATAAAACTCTGCTGATTTCGAGGCCAGTCAGGAAGGGGGATATGGAGCTACTTTGTTCAAGAAATTATTTGCTTTGTAGTTAGAATTGCAAGTCTAGAAGAAAAAAGGAAATAAAACTTGAAACTGCATTTTTTGAACACATCCCTCTTTCTCTTAATTTTATATTCCATTACTACATTGTATATCTACCAAAGATAAATATAAAACATTACTATGTATCATTTGGTGCAGAACTAATTATATTGTGAAGATAATGGTAACAAAACAAAATTATCTTGATTAGCCCTACATAGAAAGGAAAGGTTAACATGCAATATCAGTAAGTTTCAAATAAATCCTTCTTCCATGTACATATCAAGAATTTTTCACTCTGATGGACTCAAACATGTATGTCATTGAAATGACCAATTTCATTCTTTGGCAGTTAGTTACCTTGATAATGAAGACTGTATCATAAAAGTTGGTGATTTGCTATGATCATGAATAGTATCCGACTTGAAATGTATGGAAACCTATGCAGTGTGTCTCATTCTCTTCTACCATGTTCTGATCTTAAAGGTGGTATGATTGATCATTTTCTTGAAAACATATTTATATATATATATATTTTTCTTGAGGATTTTTGAAGTCATTACCTTTTATTTCTGTTTTTCTAGTTGTTGTTTATTTTTATTTTATTCTGTACCTATTTTTGAGTCTTATTGCTTTGTGATATATTTGATTTCATATTTTAACCCTCTGACCAGCCAGGGTTTTCACTAAGAAGCACAAATTTCCCAAAACTACTATGAGAAAAAATTATTTCTTGATTTTAATGTAAAAATTCTCCTGGTAGTTTATACCTGAATTTGTGTACTTTTAATATATTGCCTAATTTCCTGGACATATTTTAATATGCACGTATGTATACTTACAGATATCGCAAAACATATTGTAGAGCGTATATATACGGCCTTGCCGGTTAGAGTGTTAATTATGATGCATATTACGTTATTTAGATAAGAAGTGAAAGGATGTATATATGTAAAATAACTTATATATATATATGTGTATTTTTTTAATAAAGGATTTCCCTCTCAACTGTTACTGATGTTTATTAAATTTATTTATAGTATTACCAGTTTATAGAAATTGCTATTCGGCAATGTCGTAGTAGTGGCATTGACTGCAGAATACATGGATTAAATATCCTTGGACGCAGAAAAACTGAGGCTGATGATACTATTAACTTCCAGTATTTAGCATCTGATGAAGATCTTGAATGTGATAATGAGACTGCAATAAGTAATGGTCATAAATGGAGTACTGGGGAGATGTTGAAAAAGCTTGAAACAAAGGTTTATGTATGGGGACTAAATGACAAGGACCAACTAGGAGGTTTAAGAGGCTCAAAAGTAAGAATAATTTTTTTTTTTAGTATGTTGACATATATATGTTAAAAATAAATTTATGGAATATATTATTTTATTTTCAGATTAAAATTCCAGCTTTCTCAGAAACTCTTTCAGCCCTGAAACCTATTACAATATCTGGTGGATCTAAAAGCTTATTTATCAGTAAGATATAAATAGTAAAATATTTTATTATTCAAGTGTAACATAAATGAAAGTTGAGAAATTTATTTGTACTTTATGTATGGTTTGTCACTGTTTTTTAAACTTAAATGCTGAGCTAGAACTATGGTAAAAATGTTATATTTTAATTAACCTCATTATTTGGAATAATTGCTTTCCTTTTTTTGTGTGTTTGAAGTGCTTTATTGCTTTTTTTAATTAGGGGAGAGGCAGAGTTATTACTAAAAATATAGTTTTTAAAATTTTCAGATATTTTAATTCTGATATATTCAGGTCCTGAAATAATAAACATGACCTGAAAATGATAAACATGCTGTCATATAGAATGAATAACCTGACAAATTAGTCATGACAATTCACAACACAACAGTCTGGAAGAGATCATAATATAACAGTGTGTACTTTTGTAATATTAAGTTGCGGCATGACATTTTATTCACTGGATCTGAAAGCAGATTCATTTCTTGTATTTATAGTATTTTCCTAATTTTCATAACCCTTTTTTTCCATTTTAATTAGTTCCAGGTTGCCCATGTTGCAAATGCTTGTATTTTTCAATTGCATTATTAATTTTTTTCTTTAATTATTTTTAGTATTTACATCTGATGTTAACTGTATTGTTTATTTGGTTTTCCTTATTTATGTTTTCAGTTTCTCAGGATGGCAAAGTATATGCATGTGGTGAAGGTACTAATGGTCGTTTGGGGCTAGGGCATTCCAACAATGTATCATTCCCCAGACAAATTTATTCTCTCAGTCAGTTTGTCATCCGTAAAATTGCTGTTCATTCTGGTAACTAAACATTTATTTTTTTATAAAACATGCTTTTACTATGTGTTGTAAACAATTTCTTGAACTTTTTAACTTTTAATTTTAATGATAATTCTGTATCTAAACTATGTTTGTAATATCCGCAATACAAATTTTGCCTTGTATTCAAAATTGTATTTTAAAATAGGATACACTTCTAACAATTACAGTTTATTGCATTTTCTTTGTGCTAGGATTTATCCAATGTAATTTAATTATACTAGCTGAAGTAAAACTTCATTTAACTTAGGATAAGCTTAAGAGAAACTTCATTTAATAGTCAAAATAGCATTAAAACAATTTTGAAATGGAAAATCTCCCTCATTTGTTATCTGTGTCTGCCGTATTACAATTCATCATTGTCATCATCATTTGTAACTGCAAATAAAATTCATTATTCTGTGTTAAACTATTTCTTTAAAAGCTGTCAGTCTCAGTTGTTCACAAACATTAAAAACTCGGTTACCTCAAGTATATTGTCAAGTTCCCAAAAATTTAAGAAATAATAATAATAGGAAATAGTAACACTAAGTATGTGATTAATTTGAGTAAAATTGTATGATTTTATCATGGTTATAGAAATTCTTAGCATATTTTTTTAAGTATTCACCTGTTATAAAAATTGACTCATCTAAGTTGTTGAACAAAAATTTTCAAAATTATGCAGATGAGCCTGGTTATTGAGTATAATATGCCATCCCTTTACAACAATGCAAGACTTGCAGAATTATTTTAGCTGACTAGCAGTATTTAAAAATTTAATTGGTAATACCGAGTGTCATTTGCAAAACTACTTGCATACCTGAGAATATTCGTGTACCTGCATGCTTTATTCTGCATAATTATAGATACAGTATTACATATGTAGAGTTCAATGGTGAGGCTATACATTCAATAGTATCCTTTTGAAGATATTGTTCTGCTAGGCTAGCCCACTAAAAGTTTGGGGGGGGGCTGGAGGTAAATATAAATCTTTCAGGTCATTCTTATTAAAAGAGGAAAAGTGTTGTATTAGAAGCACAACTTTATATTTACTAATATTTATATTTCTTTTAGGATATTTGTGTAAGTCTTTGTTGTCACCTTATGAAATCTGCCCAAAATAGGGCACTACCTTGACTTCAAGTATCTGTTTTGTAACTACAGGGAAAATAATCCACCATGTCTATGTTACATAATGCTTGGAATAACTTTATAAATGAAATCTGAATTTGTCCATAAATTAAGGACTACAGTAGTCTTCAGTTCTTTATACATAAAGCCATGCGAGGTTGAAATTATTAGTGATTTCTAAAGAGGGTAAGAGCACAACTGCTGAACACTTGCTTTAGAAGTTTACTATGGGCATTTGAATGGCATCAATTTTGTAGCTATCCCAAGGCTGAAGTTTGAATAGAATAATGGTGCTGTGCTGCCAAACAGGTGTGTGTGTGTATACATAGGGCATACAGAAAGTAAATTTCCGTATTAAAAAAAAAAAAAAACTAACAGTTTCAGGAACATATTTATTGGCAACAAGTACAGCAATGTTTCAGCTATTTTTCAACATAGCCACCACCAGAATTGAGACACTTGTCATATCGTTTGATTAACTTTTGTATCCCTGTGTCGTAGAACTCTGCCACCTGTGAATGGAACGAGCGTGTGACAGACATCTTCAGCTCTTCGTCATTGCCAAAACACTCACCGGAGGACAGGAATTTCTTGAGGTGCAAGAAAACGCGAAAATTGATGGCAGTAAGATCAGGGCTGTAAGGTGGATGATCAAACTACTTCCATCCAAATTCCATCCAAACAGCTGCTGTGCATCGAGCCGTATGTGGATGATCATTGTCATTTGTGAGCACACCTGCAATAAGCATTCCATGCCTCTTGTTTTGAATGGCACGTCGCAATTTCTGCAGTATTTCACAGTAATGGTCAGCATTTACTGTTTCACCATGTGGAAGGAACTCAATGAGCAGAATACCTTTCCTGTCCCAGAACACCGTGCACATCACTTTCCGTACCGACAGCGTCTGTTTGAATTTCAACCTGACCGGAGATCCACTATGCCACCAATGTATTGAGTGCTGCTTGGTTTCCGGGGTGAAGTGCGAAATCCAAGTTTCATCGCCCGTGATGATCCTGTCAAGGAACTCGTCACAGTCATCATGATACTACTGCAAACAGCACTAACCCTGTTTTCGGATGTCAGGTTATTCGGCACCCACCTGGCACACAATTTTTTGAACAGCAGGTGCTTAGTGACAATCTCGTGCAACAAGGATCACAATATCTGTGGAAACTGGCTGCTCAGCTCTGTAATCGGGAAGCGACGGTTCTTCATCACGTGCTGTCGCACAAGCTTAACAAGATCATCATTGATGAGGGACGGTTGCCCACTGCGCTCTTCATCATGTATACTTTGACGACCTTCCGAAAACTGCCTACACCAGCGATGCACCATCTGCTTACTCATGATGTTCGGCCCATAGACCTGACAGAGCTCATGATGAATTTCAATTAGTGCAATGCTTTGTGCATTGAAGAACTTTATCACCAACCGAACCTTGCAGACGGAGGGAGAAGGAATAAGAGCTTCTATTTCGGACCACTGCTACCACACTACTGGCATGAGGCGGGACCTGTCTGGTTGGCATATGATTGATACATCATAGATCTGTTACACATGCACAATTGACATGGCTAATTACATTTACTTTAAAGGGGGAAACATCAGGAAAGTTACTTTCTGGATGTGCCTCGTATATATAGATACATATAAAATAATAAATTTAGAACTAATTTTTCACAAATACCAAAAATTGAGATTCCTAAGTAATAAATTTCAAATACTAGGCAAGATTATTTTTTGTTTTAGAAAAATTGTTTTGTAATTCTATATATAGTTTTAGGTAAATAATGTAACTATAAGTAATAAATTACCTAATACTTGCGCTAAAGCTGCAAAGTAATAAAATAGTAAATTATTTTAATGTATATAGATGTGTAGAGAGATATATATATGGAGAGATGTACAAACACGCTTACACTCACAGATATATACTATATATACACATATATTTATATATACATACATATACACAATACCAACCACATATTAAAATCATACTGTATTCCCAAACATATTTGTTTTTATTAAGTGGCTGTGTAATAAATGCAGATTTCAATTTTGCAAATTACAGTTATCAACTTTGAACTTAAATTAATAAGATAGTAACAATTAATCTAATAATTAATACATAAATTATTAATTAAAAATCAATGCTGAATTTAAACTATTTGCAAATTTTGATGGAAACTTTAGATGGAAGTTTTTTTACTTTTTATATAAAAAATTTGAAATTGCATACCAGGTGAAATTTTTAACTTTTGTGAAGAACTGCTGTATTTGCATTTGTTATGCATTGTTTGTGAGCAGTCTTTTAATTGTATTTTCAAGTCCTTAAAACTGTTGATAGCTTTCATGATCTTTCAGTTCAAGAATTTTTAGACTTTGCAGTGTTTTTCTTGATTGAGCCGAGGTTGGCATGCTGTCAGTTTCTTTCATATCACTTTCACTGTCAGTTTCAGCTTCTGAGCTCTTTTAATACTTTCTATAATAATCATAGTCAAACACATGCTGTCTCAATATTAATCAGTTGCAACATTTTCTAAAAGTGAACCTTCATAATTTCCTTCACTGATACCTGAAATATTAAGAATAGTTTGCTATTTCTCTGCATCTTCTTTGAAATAAAAATTACATTTTTCTAAAGCAATTTCCCTCTGTGTTTAGGGAGACTGCTTCCCATGCATTGACTATAATATGCATAACCTGTAGCAGAGCTATCGACTTAGTCATGTCATTCAAATGCTTATATTTTCACAAGATTCAGTTTTGTTTATCTTTTTTATGTACACCTTTTCTGTAATGACATTTGAAAGCTTTTGTAATATTTTGGTCTAATAGGCTGAATGATAAAGGTCATATTTGCTGGAAGAAACATTAATTTAATGTTTCTGAGAAAGATATCAGAAGGGTCTGCAGCACAATTATCTATAGTCAAGCTATTTTTTCCTTTTTCAGTTCTCTGTCCCATTTCAAAAGGTAAACAGCAAAAATACTACTTGTCTTCCATTGTTTATTAAATGGTAAGTCAAAAGTTCATTTTAGGAAAGATGTATACTAAAAAGAAAAATTCTGTAAGTTGTTACAGCAATCAAAATCTGCAATGGAAGGCAAGTAACACTGTTTGCTAAAGATAGAAATAGCTGAAACAGCTGAAATAATTAAAAAGTCAGCTATTTGAATACTTAGAAAATGAATTTAAATTAAAATCATTAGGTAAATTGAAAATGTTTTATTGATATAAGTAAATATAATTTGCCGATTGAGAAAAAATGTGCTAACAGTTCTGATTAATGGATGAAAGCAGTTGTTTTTGCAGAAATTTTTAAGAGCACTTTGTTCTAACTTTAGAGTAAAGACTACCAGAAACTTTTAAATGTGCACTTTTTTAGTGTTTTTATAGTAGTAAACCATTTTTAGCATTTCATCACGTCTAACCCCCTTTTTTTATGTGTGTCTGTCTGTGAAGCAGAGAATTATACATTGCATTGCATATTAAATGTTTTCGGATTTTGTTGTTAAAACTAATCCAAAAGTCATGCTCCTTCAGTCTGCTTAAAAATCACTTGAGTTGCTCCCATTTAATTATATTTTGGCTTCCATTAGTATTCCATTAATAACATCTTCATCTCATTGTAGATATGCTAGATAGAGTGATATAGGCATCTGTTCATATAAAGTTTATTTTTGATTTGCAAGTTATGATGTGCTGCATTTGCAGTTATATAGAAACTTCTTTTTTTCACATCCATATCAGCCATAAATTTTAGCAGCTCATTTATTTAAGTCATTAACAAGTGATTTCATGTTATATGAGTGAGTGGTCAACCTTTTCACAGTGGGTTTACCAAACGTAATTTCTATGTTCGTGAATACTGTTTTTAATGCATTTTAAAAGTAGTGAACTCTTCTAGGTGGACGTCATGCTCTAGCTCTTACAATAGATGGTAAAGTTTTCTCATGGGGAGAAGGAGATGATGGGAAACTTGGACATGGAAATAGAATGTAAGTTTTAATAAAATTTCATTTAATAAAAGAAATTTTTAGTTACCATTTACAAGTTTAAAATTGTTATAACACTAGAACCCATTTACCCATGCTGGCTGCGGTAGAGCCATTTCAGATAATCCATGTTTCATGCAATCTATTGTAGCTACTAAATTTAATAGCAATAATGAATACCTATAAAGCAGTACGAAGTCCTAGTCCTAAATCTTGTTTCCTTGAGGCATTCAGAAAGAGAGCTAGCTTCCTTTGAATTTGTATATGTAGTGATTGTTTTTGCCTTCCTAAGATCACTAAGGGATCTGAAGTGCATGGGGTCTGATTGATTTATGCAGAGCTTCAAGAAAGCAGGGTATCTAATGTTCTTTATTGTTCTGAAAATCATTGCACAAGGGAAGATAAACTTAGCATTGATGAAGAGGATGACAATGATGGTGACCATCACGATTTGTAAGTTGTAGCTGACAATACAATTCCAGTAGCACTGAATAATTTGAAAGACTCTGAAGCACTGTGAAATAAATGTGGACCAGAAAAAGAGGGAGCAAGTTTCAAGATATGGGGATGTAAAAATGACGATATCTTAATAGATATTGTAATATAGATTAGTATTATATATTCTTAGTGGAATGTAGGTTTCTTCTAAGTAAATAATGCCATAGTTAAAACTAGTTTATCTGTAAATACTTGTTATTTTTCCAAAGGATGCTATTGCAGTAAGAATATTTGTCATGTTCTTACTGTAGCTGCATCCTTTGGAAATTAAATTATTATAATTTTCCCTCTGGATTTTCATTTGATAAAATTAGCAATGAAAGAGGAGGAAATACTTGAGTAAATGTGGTAAATGAAGATTATATAGTTCAATCTTTTCATTGGGATGACAGTCCTTCAGTCAGCCATTAGCTAATGTATGATGAAATTTGTAGTATGGTTTTAAATCCAGAAAACATATCTACTGATAATGAAGAAAGTGGCAAAGAAATTTTTGAGAGCATTTTAGTGGGATTTCTCAAAATGGCGATTTCAAGCCTTCAACAATGGAACTTTGTATCTGAACAAGATATTATGTCTGTCTATAAAATTTAAAGAGGAATTATTAGCTGGGGAAAAAAAAAAAGAAAGAAACTGTTTAAACAACTAACTTACATTGAAAGAAATGTTTAATGAGACAAAAAATAAATATTGAGCTTTTTTTGTAAATTTTCTTTCCCTTAAGGCCATAAATGTTTCATTATTTCATAAGTAACTATTTCATACTTTTAATTTTATAATATCTTCTAGTCATCTTACTAGATTTAAACCTGGAAATTTCTGAAATCTGTAGTAGTCAAAGCTCTGACAATTGTGGATCTTGGACTTCGTTCTGTATAATAGAGTATTTTCCTATTAATTCCTCCTCCCCCCCCCAGATTTTTATTTCAGAGCAGATTTGCTGTTCTTTTGTTGCTTGTATAATTGTCATAAAAAGGTGTTTTCACTTATATAACTTTTATAATTTTTCATATATTTGACACTTATTTCTTGCTTAAAAGAATGAATAAATCTAGTAAATCTGGAAAACCCAAGTCTATTTCTTAGTCTCTTTCACTTTAAAGCAAATAACTTACTTTAAAATTAGAACATATTTAATTTTGTAGCCTTACTATGACTTCTGATTGTAGGCCAAAAAGGTAAAATTTAGATTCAGAAGTTCAGCCAAAACTGAAAAATATATGAATAAACTGAATGTAAAATCACTTCAAACATCCAAAAATATGTTGCTAAACAGTATATTGCCCCAAATGTGAATAATTAGTCATCTGACCATATCCACTCAAAAAATAGGAAAGAAAGCATTGAGCAGAATGAGGGGGGGGACTGTATATTATAAATTAATAGCTTCTTTAAAATTGTTCTATTTCCATGAAATAAAAATAGTGTAATCACCAGGCTGAAGGGATTATATTGTTATTGTCCATTTCTACTTTAATTATTTGGAAGTAATAATAGCAGCACAAAGTAACCCAACAGCTGATGCTGTGTGATTGTCATATCACATCCATGAATGCTGCATGCTGCACAACTTAGCATCTGAGTACCAGTCATCTGCATTTCGTAATAAGATGCAATCTGGCATATTTGCTCAATGTCAGATGTTGCGTTATTTGCACTGCTACTGCGAGTTTGAAATAGTATGAGTACAAACTGAAAATTTCTTCTACAGTTCTTCCACTTTAGGCCTCACAGTATTTTTTATTCCATGCAAACATAGTGCTTTTTAAAGATATTATTAACTGTTTTTAATAAGGAATTTTCCCCACCCACTCGATAAAATAAATGAGTGCTTTTTGCTGTATTAATTTTTCTTTTGAGTCTCCAAACTGACAAATTATTGTAAGTTTTTTAGAACAATTCATACGGTAAATATGGCAAGAGAGACTGTTTTTGTGAGCAGCTTTACATGTTGACTTGCCAACTTCAGGGAATGTATTTCATGAACAGCTTGCAGATAAACCTTCTCTCTCTCTCTTTTTTTTTTTTTTTTTTTTTGTTTGTATGGGTGTACAGGAATAATACTTTCTTCAAGTATGTCCCATAGTCATAAGCCTGGCGTACCATTCTTGGTGGTTTTCGCATCAAGGGAAGTATGAGGTCCACAAACACTGAACCCTTACCTTAGCACCTGAACACCAGACATCTGCATTTCATAATAAATTGCAATCTGGGACATTTGCTCAATGTCAGATGTTGGGTTATTTTCACTGCTATTGTGAGTAGTGTTTTTTAACATGTGCATCATTTGGCACTTGGCAGTAAGCCATTGAGTTTACTTTAGTACTCAGTTGTAGTAACTATTCTTTTGCAATCAGGGAGTTTTTCCCTTAATGAGAATTTCTGCTGTATATTGAAAAATGCATTATAAAACAAAAGAAACTGTGTGTTCTTCTGTTGTAAGTTAAAATTTATAACTTTTGCTGAACATTGTAATAATCTGATGCCTGCTCTTCATTTTGAATTAATGAAAAGCATATCTGTATATGAAAATGATCTTCTGGTCATTTGAGAAAAGTTGCTTCAGGATGCTTTGGATGAAACTAAAGATGACAATATCTGTGGCACATATAATAATGTCAGTTGTAAAATGGAGGTCAGTGTCATTTACTAGGAAACTTTCAAGAATTGTTTGAGTTGAATATGTATTTTGAAACATTTGATTAATTACATTAGGGTTTAATAAAATACAAAATTGCATTAGTAACTTAACATACATTATTTATTTTATATTTGTTTTTTGTGATCAAATTATTTGTCAATCTTTTTGAACTTGTATGTAAACTCCCCTCCCTCCACTAACTCAGTAGCAAAACAATTTGCTAAAAGTTCTGTGCTTTTATGTAGAAATTTACAGTTTATTGATTAATTGTCTCGTTATAAATGTTGGTATGGCTTCTTATGTTTAATTTTATTGTGAATGACCCTTTACAGAAAGCAATATGATTTATTAACAATGGAACATTTGCTGTGTCATAATTACTGTATTATAATTATAGTAGATCATGTTTTATCAGTTGCTTTAAGTATCTGACCATCTGCTTGCATGCACACCTACTAGACTGCGTGTTGCTGTGATTCTTGGTAGCTTAATTTTAATCTTACAGCCATTTAGTGTTTAGAAATAAAAACATAGCTAATTTTTTCAATTTCAGTTATTCACCTTTTATGCTTTAGCAATGTTAACTACTCAAAATATGTAAAACTGTATATTATATTTAGATGATATTTTTCTTAATCTTATTTATATGTTGGTTGTATTACTTCATTATGAATTTTTTCCAGTTTTACAGTCTTTTCTTATGCGATACTTTATAGCCTAATTTTTTTTGCAGGACATATGAAAAACCTCGTCTAATTTTAGCTTTAAAATCAAAACGCATTCGAGATATAGCATGTGGAAGTGCTCATAGTGCTGCTATTAGTTCATCTGGAGAACTTTATACATGGGGTCTAGGAGATTATGGACGTTTAGGTCATGGAGATTTAGTTACTCAAACCAAACCCAAAATGGTAAGAAGTTTATAATTTTTTTGTGCATCTATTTAAGAGCAGAATTCTATTAGTATGTGCAAGTGGTATTGAGTAAATGTTGGCTAATCTGAATTGCACATAAAGAATTGGAAGTTATTTCTGCCCATATTTATTTTTATTCAGTTTCTTTGCTCTGTCTCTCTCTCTCTCTCTTTCTCCTTCGCCCTTTCTCTCTCTCTCCCCCTCCCTCCCTCCATGCTGTAGCTATTCAAACGAATTAAAAAATGAAGAAATGCTGCTGTTATCTTTTCCCAACCTGCAATAATGAAATTCGAATTTCTTCAAGTGTTCTAGCGATCCAAACCCACAAAATGTTTATCAGATTTACAGGCTCAAATGCAGTTCATAAAATTATTACATCCCAATTTTTCCTTGGTTGAAGTTCAGTCATCTCTAAAGAATGAAAATATTATCACAAATTTAGATGGGAGATAGAAACACTGAAAGAAACTTCCATCTAATTAAAATCTTGCTGTGTGATATGTCTGTGTTCGTACTGTAATCCATAAGCCTTTTTGACACAATTTTGTATCCGAAAAAGTCAAGATAAATGCAGAATGTGTTTCTTACAACTTTGGACTATGTAACACATCCAAGAATTTGTTGCATATGATAACTGAAAAGTGGACTCATCAAAGGGTGTAATTTTTCATGCCAGACTGATGCCGACATATAAAACTGGAAAAAAAAATTTTCTTTAAAAAATCAGGAAAATGTTCTGAGTAACAAAAATGGCTTTTAAACTATAAAAATATGCAGAAAAAGAAAGAGTTTTTTTTAAAGTAATAAACTCATTTTAAGTAGCATCTAATTAATGCTGAAAAGACGGCCATTATTTATTTTTTACTTTCAAATAGTATAAAATCACTTGCATAGGGGAAAAAAGTTACTTTTATCTGTATCTTTTAATAGAAAAATAATATTTTAATCAGTTTTTAACTGTGGTGGATTTAGGTACCGTAATTTCAAGTAGATAAGCCACCCTGGCATATACACCACACACATGAAAAAAATGAATGAAAATTCATTGGATAAGCGGCACTGCCATATACAGCACAGCAAAGCCTTCCAAAATGTAGCACTTAATATTCATTTCTTCAGTAATTCCCTGCCATATTGATGTAATCATCAGTGATAACATTTTATAACATTTACAGCTTAAGTGTGATCAGTAATATATAAATAAATAAGGAAGAAACATCTTACCTTGAACTTGCCAAAAGCAAACTCTGAGGATTTCTAATAGATATTATTTTTATGGGTTCGGTGAACCTTGATTATCACCATAAATTACCACATTATGAAAAATAATATGTACATTAGATAAACAAACAGAATTTTTTAATTAAACTACATTTATTCATACCAAAAAAATGACTCATCATGTCAGAATTAAATAAACTTAACAAATGACCATCAAGGTCAATTTCATCTTTCTGTTCTAAATCACTTCTTTCTATGTTGCTATCTCCACATTCATTTTATTTTTTGACGATTTCCTATTTAATGATACAATAGTATCGGCTGGGACTGTTTTCCATGCTTTATCGACCCATAAGGCAGCCTTCTCATGCAAAACTTTTCTCATTCATCTGGAATTTGTAAAGGAATAGAGTCCACATCCATTCCTCCCACTGCTTTTGTAGCTCATGCTTGAAATTTCTATTGATAGTGAGATTCCAGCAGCTGCAAAATTTTTGTAAGTCCACCTGGTATCACTGAGACATCGGTGCTAAGTTTTTCTGCTTTGTATCTTACCTTATCCGCTAAATGGGATCACATTGAATCCAGGACAATTAGTCCCCGGGGTTGGAAAAAAGAACCTTTCTTTTGTCAATAAATTTCTCTCAGCCAAAACAGCATCACTTCTTAACACATCCATCCTTTTTTATTGGTGTAAATAATAACTCCTTTATGGAAGTTTCCTTTCGGAACAGCGTTTGTTTTGAAAATTATCGAAGAGGTTAACATTGGTGTTATCGAAGGGGTTCTCCATTGGTGGTAGCACAACCCAAAATACAAGTAAACAAAGTCTTTTCGTTCTTGGTTGTTAACACCGAAGTAGTTTTTTCACCTATTGAATGAACAGTTTTTCTGCACGGAAGACAGTCAAAAGTAATGGGCACTTCATATTAATTATTTTCCCTCTTTTTCAATTTTGTTCTTTAATTTTCTTAGATGTGTACTCCAAAAAAGCTATCTTATTTTCAAGTCAGTCCAGGGAAACTTTTTTCCAAATGTTGTTTTGGTTGTGACAGATAATTTCTTTTGCTTCATGATCCTGAAACACCGATTAGATCCTCCAGCAAAATTTTTAATGGCCATTTGTGTAGCAATTACTTTTGCTTGAACATGAATTCTAACTGTTGATACTGATAATCTACTTTCTCTCTGCTCTGTTGTCCATTTCTCTAAATTGTCTTCCAAAACAGGCCAGGTTATGACAACAGTTCAGCGACATCTTTTATTCTTAGGCATTTTCTCTAATTCCTCTTGTTCAGACTTCCACCGCCGAATGCACTGCTCGACAACTTGAAATTCTTTAGCTGCAGCGAGATTTCCAATTTCGATCGCTTCACTGTTGAAAGCTTAAAAGCAGCTGTATAACTTTTTCTTTGAGCCATAATAATATTTGTAAAGTGAGAATGATAAGTTAAACATAAAGCAAGCTACAAAGCAGTTAAAATGTGTAAGAATGAACGCAGAACTTTTCAAGTAAATGTAGCTGTTCCCCTTTAAAGAAAAAAAAAAAAAAAAGAGTCATAGGAAAGCACGTGCAAAACCATTCAGTTTTATAGAAAGTACATGCATTATGGTGTCTTTTCACAGAGCTCCACCTACCTTATTCAAGTTTGAACTTTTTGCAATTTGAGGTTAAAATATTGCGGCGAATTCTGACTTGACCTTTTTGTTTTTTGCATAACTTACGATCTGAACTACGAAGTTTAAGGACAGAGGAAAAATAAAATTCCCTCAAATGTGCCGCTCTGGCAGGTAAGCCGCAGACCTAAATTTTCAGTTTTTAAACATCAGCTGCAGCTTATCTACCCAAAATTATGGTAATCATGAAGGCATATGTTATAAGCAGTATGGAGAAACATAGGCCGATCTGGCATAATAGAGATCCTCAAGTGGCATGAGCACTTTTAAGCAGCCATGTACATGTCTGACTGTCTCCTTACTTCTCAAACTCTGTAGATCTCTTTAATAATAACTCTCAGTGGGAAATCTAAGAAATTTACTTTGCTGTATCATAGACAACTATAATTTTTAATTTGAAAGGCAGAGAATTTTTCTCTATGAATTTGAAATAGAGAAACAACATTAATCTAACGTTGATATTTGGTTAAAGTATAAAAATACCTCAGATCCAAAATATTGCAATGATATTTTAACTTGATTACTATATCAAACCCACTTTCATTTTAATTTAACTTCTTCTGGATTATATACTTTTGTTGCCAATCTGAAACAATTAACAAAATACTAAAATTTAATTTATTTTTTATTTCTTTACTACTTTATAATATCCTAGGTCTGCAAGGCCTGCTTAATAAAATCTGGGCACTATGCTTGGGATTCATAAGCCTAGGCAGTAATAGTGCCTTGTGCACATATTATCACACATAATTTTAAAGATTTTGCATTATTATTTGAGCCAAAGCTTTTTTTTTTTAATTTAATCTCTTGTTAAGACACAATAACACGCCGAATAAATACCAATTCAGAAGTCAAACAACAAAAATCAGCGTTATATTTACAAAATTTTCACAGGACTCGTTTCGATGGTTTTACCTATCGATGGACTAGTTCGATGGTTAGTTAGATGGTGGTTCGGTAAAACCATCGAAACTAGTCCTGTGAAAATTTTGTAAATATAACGCTGATTTTTGTTGTTTGACTTCTGAATTAATCTCATATTTTGCCATAATTTGATTTTTACAAATGCATAAATTTTGCATTTTTTATTGATTACTTTATTTTAAACTTCTCTAGTATAAATTAAGCAAATATGCCTAGTTATTTCAATCATGCAGACATGACTTAAGAGAAATCCGTAAATATGTTATGCAAAAGAATGAATAATTATCGATTGTTTTTTGTGTTGGTTCTATGCATTTATGTTTACGTAATGGTAATCTCGAGTTTGAATCTGAAAAGTAAAAAGAATCTCGAGTTTTGCCTTCTTATTTGAAATTTTAGATGCAAAAAGTAAAAAATGAGAAATGGTACATGAGAATAGTATCTGGAAATTCAGACCGACAATATGTGTTTCTTGTTCATTTTTATTTAAAGGTTTGTCATTATAAATTTTCACCAAACTAGTGTCGGTAGTATTAGAAAAGACAAATTTATCTGTATTTCTTGATCACATTTTATATGATGCAATGATGCAAGTTTTCTGCAATGTATTGCTAAATATTTCGTCTCATGAATGAAAATGTTTTCTCTTCTTAACCATTTGCGCTACGACTAAACTTCACGGCTTGCGGTGCCGTGTGCTACAATATAACAAGCAGTAAAGTATATCATTTACGCCTCTCCGGGTCTGCGAGTGCAATTCAGATTTGTAACTTGAGAAATAAACAATCTCGTTGTTAGGTGCCATGTGCACCACGTTATTTTCAGTTTTACATGCGGTTTGAGAAAAAAGTATCTCGACGTGCGAGGCACATCTTTTTAGCGCAAGTGGTTAATATAAAGAAGAATCTGAATTTGAAACACATCTATAATTCTTCAGAAAAGTGTAAAATGCCTCATAATAACCTATGGAGTTGAGATCATTCATGGCCCACCAGCGGCCGAGTGGTAAAGTCGCTGAACACTGGTAGTTCGGTCCGAGGTTCGAATCCCGCGAACGGGCTGGCTACATGGGCGTTTTCGTGGTTTTCCCCATGTGTAACGTGTATACGAGTCAGTTTCCCTTAGAAAGTCCTCCACGAAGGCATCCCTCCTCTTAGGCAGATAGCCCTAGTGTG